AGGAGTTTGAGGTTGCTGTGAGCTAGGCTGACGCCATGGCACTCTAGCCTGGGCAAGAGCGAGACTCTGTCTCCAAAATACACACATACACACACGCACACATACCCTTCCAGCATAGACAACCCAAAGTGAACAAGAAATGAAGAGTTCTTAGAGTAACTGGAGCCTTAGAGCTGCTGGAATCTTTCCACTTCTGCCTCTATTTCTCAGCTGATGCTCAGGTCTCTAGAACTCCCATACCAACTGTCGACAGAGTAGTTCATTAGTGATAACCCACAGAAACAGCAATCACGTCTGTTTATCTTGACTACCCTGGCCTTACTCCCAAGCACCAGGACAGATCCCTGCCTTCCTGAATGGGGGTTTGTATGTATAACCAGCTAGACATTGGCTCCCAGCAGACAAGACCAAAGGCACCCCACGGGAAATGCTGACCATGGGAAATGGAGCTTTTCCTCAGACCAGCTCTTCATGCCAATAGCCGTTTCCTTCCCCTGCCAAACTGACTCTTCGTACCAATCCAGAGAAGTGAAAGAGATACGAAGGCAAGAAGGAGGGAACTGACTCTAGTGCCCTGGGTGTGGGCTGGATAGGACGAGCCTCTGGATCTCTGTGTCTGTCGCAACCCTATGTCCACCTGCCCGCTGTCAGCCTTCCTCCGTCTCTCCCTGACTTGGCTCCTTCATTTCAACCCTGGATCCCAGCTCACTCTCCCTCACCAAACCCTCTCACCTGCTTGTTCAACCAAAAGGAGTAAGAGCAAGACCACTGCTGGAATCATCTTGGGCTGGGGATCGGACGCTCTGACAGCACTGCGCAGCTGTGCTCAGCAAGCAGCTCCCTGACCACAGAGTTCCCCCCTTCCTGCCACGCCTTCCCCCACGCTTTGGCCCCTTCCCCTTCCTGCACTAGAGCAGGCGGCTCCCGGAAGGGCCGACTAAGGAAGCTGGGAGATCTGGGCCCTTAAGCCTCGGCCCGTCAACGGCCAACCCCTAACTCAAGGAATGAGACTCTCATGCCTGGGAAAGGCTGTCTATATCTGCCATGTTTCACTTTACCCTGTTCAAAGATACCTCTATTACAAACTGCCCCTCGAGTTTCCCTTAGACACCACTACAGCCCTTTCCCTCCCACCAGGAACTTCATTTGAGCAGTTTACCAATTTGTGTAGGCATTGAGAAGCTTTGGGCAGGGGGAAGCTGAGGGGAAAAGAGGGTACGGGGAATGGAGAAGTGGAAAGGACAAGAGTCAAGAAAAGAGGGTGGAGATGAGCAGGAAAAATTGCTAAGACCTAGGCCAGGCGTGGTGGCTCACGACTGTAATCTTAGCACTTCGAGAGGCTCAGGCAGGAGGATCACTTGAGGCCAGGAGTTTGAGACCAGCATGAGCAAGAGCAAGATGCCATCTATACTAAAAATAGAAAAAATTAGCTGGGCATGGTGGCATGAACCTGTAGTCCCAGCTACTTGGGAGGCTGAGGCAGGAGTATCGCTTGAACCCAGGTATTTGAGGTTGCAGTGAGCTATGATGATGCCACTGCACTCTAGCCTGGGCAACAGAGTGAGACCTTGTCTCAAAAAAAAAATTGCTAAGACCTGAGTCTAATGAAGAAGTGGAGGGTTAATGAACATTCTGTTTCCCATCAAAGTAAAAGACAGTAAGATACCAAGAAAGACATACCAGAAGTTTGGGCCGAGGGGCCGCAAGGCAGCTAATTTATTGTAATTTCTCCTTTTGTAGTACATGCACAGAAAGCTCAACAGCTAAGTGTACATATACATGTACACACACACACATGCACACACACACAGCCCCATATCCAGTGAGGGACAGGCTCCACAGAAGAAGCTGACAGGCAGAAATCAAATGCTGTTTGTTTGTCTGCTCATCGATCTACTTCTCCAAACACAATATCTTGGGTACCTAGGAGGTCAGAGGATGGAGAAAAAAAGTCATGTTATCAAAGATACAGAACTCATTACTGTGCTCAGGTGACTTGAGGACTTGACTACATGCCGATAGTCTACATGCTGAACAGGAAGTGTTCAGTTTCCATCCCCCATGGGAGTCCCAAACCCCCTTGTCTAGGACACTGTTACTACACAATAGGCCTCGTACCTATGATGGCAACAACATCCGCCAACATGTGTCCCTTAGACATCTTGTCCAAACCAGCCTGAGGAGATTAAGATAGCAACGGTGTTAGATAAGATTGGTAGGGTGGAAGAAGGAAAGACAGTTCATAAAAATCTCAACCAAAGTCAATAAATTATTGCATCAATTTATTGGCATTAGAATATTGATATTGGTTCTTACCAGGTGGGCAAAACCAGGAGCCTTGATCTTGCATCGATAAGGGCGGCTGCTACCATCAGACACCAGGTACAGCCCAAACTCTCCCTGTCCAAGGAAGAAGGTTAGGTGCCTCCAGTAATAGGAAAAACATTTTTCTCTGCCAAGAAAACCTCTCTATTCATGCCCTCCTGTCTTCTCATTGACGAATGAGGATTTTGTTAAACATCTCTCTCCAGTTACTTACTCCACATATAGTCTTTTCCTTCCCCTCCTCTCCTCACCTTAGGAGCCTCAATGGCAGTATACGTGGCTCCCGGAGGAACTTGGTAGCCCTCAGTATACAACTTAAAGTGATGGATCAGAGACTCCATGGAAGTCTGCAGAGAGGAAAGAGGGAGCATCAATAAACAAAATCCAGACTCTGTCTCCTAGGCCTTCCCCCAGCACAGAAAATAATCTCGACCCTCAGAGAAACTAAAGATACATGTAAGTCAGTAAGCAGAGAGGATACAGAATAAAAGAGAAGAGCTATGGGAAGTTAAGAATCTTATACAGTGAATTCTTTGAAAAAGGAAAACTAAAAGGTAGGATTTGATCCAAGGATACTCCTCCCTGGCCACTAGCTCCTTTCCAATTCCCCACTTTCCCTCTCCCTGCAGCCAACCTTCATCTCTGCTCGCTTAGGTGGAGACACTTTGGCATCATCAACCTTGATCTCCCCGGGAGGCATCTTGTTCAGACACTGTGAGATGATTCGAACGGACTGGCGCATCTCCTCCACTCGGCACAGGTACCTGAAATGGATGAGACAGACTCAGAGTGAAGAGAAGAACGGTCAGAGGAGCAGGTGTGGGGCTGAGAAAGATGCCCTTCGGCTGACCTCAAAAGGGTTAGATCCTTCCCCAAACCCTCTCCTGAATTTTTCAGACCATGGCCTGTGGTATTTCCCTCTTTAATTATCCTCTTAAGACACTTTTTGGACTACAGAATGGTTGAGAGTCAAATGGACTAAAAAACAACAACAACAAAAACACAGTAGCAAATCTGACTCAGGGTCAGTAAACGGAAGTGGAATTTGAAGCTCAGAATCTAGTAGAAAGAGCACTAGATCAGGAAGATTCTAGTCTCAACCACTGCTGATAGAATAATCCTAGGCTAATCCCTAACTCACATGTCTCAGCTTTCTTAGCTATAAAGTGAAGCCAAAACTGGTTCCATCCATGACAGGGTTAATGGAAGGTAAAATAAGATGCCACATACCTGAAAGTACTTTGAAAATCAACAGAGTTTTAACACACTCAAGAGCTGCCTTAGATCTTGGGAAGTAGCATAAAGAAGAAAGTGACAAGGGAAAAGTGAGGCAGGGGAAACTGGCTGGACAGTGAGCAGAGAAAAGACTGGGCCTTACCTATCATAGCAGTCCCCTCGAGAGCCAATGGGAACATCAAACTCGACCTGGTCATAAACGTCATAGGGCTGGGTCTTCCGCAGGTCCCACTGGATGCCTGAGCCCCGGATCATCACTCCACTGGGGAGAGTATAAGAGGAATAGGGGCCACTCTCCACAAACCAAATAAGGAGGCACATTCCTCCTTCGTCTCCCCCTTTTCTCCCCCACATTCAGGGTATGGCTAGGAGGGTGCCAAACATTCTCAAAAGCAAAGCTATTAGGCTGGAACTCCCCCACTCCCACTCCGACCCCTGAGGACAGAAGTTGTCTTCCTCCCACCTAAAGCCATAGTTAAGTGCGTCTTCTGCTGTTATAACCCCAATGTCGACAGTTCGATTTCGCCAGATCCTATTGTTGGTCAGCATCTGTTGATCAAGAAAACTGCCATGTTAATATTCTTCATAACATTCTTCAAATACCTCTGTATTAAGAATAACATCTATTGGATGTCGGGCAGGGGGGAGGGGGGAAGGGGGAGGAGGAGATGGGTATCTGCATACACAAAGAGTGCAATGCGCACCATCCAAGGGTTGGACACGCTTGAAACTCGGACTTGGGGGGGAGGGGGGAGGCAAGGGCAATATACGTAACCTAAACATCTGTACCCCCATAATATACTGAAATAAAAAAAAAAATACCTCTGTATTTCTTTACAAAACCCCACAAGGCCTTCTTGGGGGAAAAGAGAAATTTTTCCCATTGACTCCTATCTTACCTCCTCTAACTCATCGATACGAAGAGAGAATTTCTTAGAAAATTCATAAATGTCATCCATAAGCCCAAGGGGTAGGTCCTAGAAGTCAAACGGAGGTGATACTGAGTTCAGCACAGCCTTCACCTGGGAGAGCCCGCTCGGCACCTCCCCCGAGGGCTACAGGGTTAGTTTCCATCAGCCAGCACTGCCCTCCAGTGGCCACAGAGGAAACAGGCCCGGACTGGAGGTTGGGGAAGCAAGGGGCATGCTCACCTGGTGCACGCCTCCTGGCCGGATATAAGCAGCATGCATTCGAGCTCCAGACACTCTCTCGTAGAACTCAAACATCTTGATAGGACACACTGGGAATTAGTGACGAAGTCCAAGGCCCCAGGTCCAACAACACAGTGGCCCACTCCCTTGCCCTCTTGTGCCCAACCAACCCCTCATGACAGAGTTCCTTCGAATATAACCCAAGTTTAATATACCTTCTCCCCCTAAGTGTTCTCCCCATGTTCTCTCTTTTTAATCCTTTGTCTCCTCATACCTTCTCTACTTCCTGTACTTCCTTCCCTATTCCTATCCCTTCCTCCCTCTCATACCTTCTCCCTTTCTTCAAACATCCAGAAGAGAGGGGTCATGGCCCCAATGTCCAGGGCATGTGTGGTCACAGACATGATGTGGTTCAAAAGCCGTGTGATTTCTCCAAACAGCACTGTCGAGAGGTGAAGACAGGGTGAGGAAAAGGTTATAGAAGCTGACAGAGCAGCCTGGGCAGAGCCTGGGATCTGAATACAAAGCTTGGGTTCAATGCTTCTAAGACGGGGAAGGGGTGGGGACGGCACTGTGCTCCGCTCACAGTGTGCTGTAGGAAGAAGTGCTGGGACATACCTCGGATCCACTGTGCCCGGGGAGGAGGCTGGATGTTTAGCAACTTCTCCACAGCCAGTGAATAGGCCTGTTCGTTACACATCATGGATACGTAGTCTAGCCGATCAAAGTATGGAAGGGCCTGGGAAGAGGGAGGAATCTGGGTCACACCTAACAGGCCCAGGAGCCCACAGTCCAGCTGCTGGAAGCTTTGCTCTCAGTGGGTATCAGAAGTTGGTGCTGCATAAGCCTTTCTAGTCTCAGGAGCCCCAGCAAGGTAGAATGAAATATCCCAATAACCACTGGTATGCTGGTAAATGTTTAAAAACCGGCTCTCCAAAGCTGGCGAAGGGCCCTGACTTGACATGTTTACCAATTTTCGTGGTAAAAATGCTCCTGCCACAGCCAATTTTTTTTTTTTTTTTTAAGACAGAGTCTCACTCTGTTGCCCTAGGTAGAGTGCAGTGGCATAACCATAACTCACTGCAACCTCATACTCCTGGGCTCAAGGGATCCTCCTGCCTCAGCCTCCCAAGGAACCCGGGACTATAGGCACACACTGACACCTGGCTAATTTTTCTAGTTTTAGAAGAGACAGGGTCTTGCTCTTGCTTAGGTTGGTCTCTAACTCCTAAGCTCAAGCAATCCTCCTGCCCTGGCCTCCCAGAGTGCTAGGATCACAGGTGTGAGCCACCATACCTGGCTGCCATGGCCAATTTTAAGCTGCTGATATTATATGAACAGGCCTGGCACAGTGGCTGATGCTTGTAATCCCAGCACTTTGAGAAGCTGAGGAGTTCAAGACCAGCCTAGACAACAAAGCAAGACCCTGTCTCTACAAAAAATAAAAAAATTAGCTGGGCATGGTGGGACATGCTTATAGTCCTAACTACTCAAGAGGCTGAGGCAGGAGAATCACTCGACCCTAGGAGTTCAAGGTTATAGTGAGCTATGACTGCACCACTGTACTCCAGCCTAGGCAACAGAGCAAGACTGCGTCTCTTAAAAAAAAAAAAAAAAAATTATGTAACTGAATGCAGCATTGGGAGGAATAGCATACCATTATACAATATTTCCATTTTACAGATACAATAAAAGTAAATACCTCAAGGGCATAGCATAGTAAAATGTAGTAAAGTAAGTGATGAGTATTTCTTGCCTTTGTTTTTAATATATGTTAAATCATAAGCTCATACAGTTTAATTCTTAATAATGGCTGTGTTCAACAGCTGGCTCATAAAATTCCTGAAAATTTAACAATCGAGATCTTACAAGCCAGTATGAGCTGGCTCTGACACAGCACTGTCAACAGTCCTCTGGTAGAGTGACACCTCTGTCAAAGAACAGTGCTTCAGACTTCTAAATCCCCCTTTTCTCTTAAAATCGATATACTCAAAGAGAAAGGTAATCAATCTTAAGAGTATCTGGGAATGAGGCATTTAAAGAAGAGAGAGCATTGGGTAGAAATGATCCTTCCTCCAGAACACCACAAAAGCTAAGTTCTGTTGAACCAGCTTCAGCTTCCAGGAAGAAGGCGGAGCTAAGATGCCCCTCTCTGGGACAGCCTGTTCTTGTCCTCATGTCGTTGTGACGCAGGATACGCTACAGGAATTAACCCATGGACTCTGGGACCAGAAACCATCACTGCCTGGACTCTCTAGGGGAATGTAGTCACATTCTAGTCACTGTTCACTCCGACACCGGGCTGGGTCTAAATCCTAACCCACAATCCTCTGTTATCAGGACCTTTCTTCATGACAGTAAGAAAAAAACTTCAGATTCCTATACCAGATCCAACTCCTTCAAATCTGACCCTTACCACTTGGGTCACACAGTCCTCCTAAAAACGACAAACTCTGTCACAAACCCCTTCTTGGTTGTTCTGACTCATCGAGTGTTCTGAAAACAAACTTAGACAGCTGGAAGATACAAGAATCAGCTGTTAATCCTAGAGAGCTGACGTCTCTCTCTTCTTTCCCTGGCCCCAGGGACACGGGCTTTGACGCACTACTGTCAAGAGCAGGGAAACTGAGGCACTAGAGTAATGGTGAAGGCGCCAGCCAAAAGTCAGCCAGAGAAGCTGGGAGTGTAGCTCCAGCTCCAAAGCACTGCTGCTGAATAAACCAAACCCAAATGACTCAAGCATCCCTTGCCCCCTCCCTCCATTCTCCCAACCAAGACTGTCCTAGTAACGTCAATGAGTTACTCCTCTCAACACCTCCCTCCCCTGAGGTTTCAGAGGCAGCAAAGTCCCAGGCTAAAGCCTCCCCAGATCCCGTCCAAAGGCCCCTATTCACCCACCACACCTGCAGATAGGTCTTGTATTCAATGAGCTTCTCAGTGCCTCGGTGCAGGAGCCCGATGTGAGGGTCACACTTCCGCACCATCTCCCCACTCAATTCCATCACTAGTCGCAGGACTCCATGGGCTGCTGGGTGTTGGGGCCCAAAGTTCAGGGTCAGGTTCGACACCATTGTGTCCTTTGGAGGGTCCACATCTGAGAAGTGGCAAATAGTTTAGAGCCAAAGGGTAATTCCCTTGGGAACCCCCAAGAGAAAGCAAGGAGTTAACCTCTCCCTATAGATCTTCCATCTTGCCATCTAAACCTTATTAATTTGCTAATTGCCATCACAACCAGAAGAAGACCATTAGATGGGGAAAAGGGGAGACCTAAACTTTTGGATGAAAGGAACCAGGAATCTCACTCTTTCCATGTCTCTTAGAATATCTTTTAAATAATAGTAACCGTATGGGGTACACAGGCACATGCCTGTAATCCTAGCTACTTGGGAGGCTGAAGCAGGAGGATCACTTGAATCCAGGAGTTGTGGGCTGGAGTGCGCTATGCCAATTGGGTGTCTGCACTAAGTTCGGCATCAATACGGTGACCTCCTAGGAGCTGGGGACCACCAGGTTGTCTTACAAGAAGTGAACCGGCCCAGGCTGAAAACGGAGCAGGTCAAAACTCCTGTGCCGACCAGTAGCGGTATCACACCTGTGAACAGCCACTGCACTCTAGCCTGGCCAGATAGCGAGACACTGTCTCAATAAATAAATAAAATAAAATTAAATAATAATAATAGATATTTATATAGCCTTATTATGCGTCAGGCACTACTCTAAGCACTTTACTTGTTTTAACTGACTTAATTCTTGTAACAACCATATGAGTAGTAAGTACTATTATTATCTCCATTTTACTGGAGAAACTAAAGCCACATGCTTTTTGACTTCTACAGGATCACAAAGCTAGTAAGTGGTAGAACCAGGGTTTATATTCAACCTGTTCAGCTCCAGGGTCCATACACTCTTTT